GGTATTTGTTCAGTTTCCCTGGTTTCTTGAGCAATTGCTGATATGTTCACCTTATTCCACTTCTGGGCAGTAATGTAACTTCACTCTCTCCGTCCAAAACATCATATTGACTCATCATACATGATTGTAATTGTATATGTGACTCAATAAATATTATTACTACTATTATTAGTAGTAGTAGGGGTTGGGTTAAAACACTTTTTGTATATGAATCTAAAATATGTTTGTGTTTTTCAAAATATACTGCTTCAAAAATTTTGAAAAAATTCTAAAACAATCTACATATTATGTTTCCAAACTCAGAGTACATATTTAATCTAGGAACTTAAGTGGGTCCAAATGAAAATTGTGTACTTCAATAATCTTACAATAAGTTTTCTGGTTATAGATTTATAAATGCATTAAGATAGTTATTTTATAACTAGATCCTTTAGAGTTTTCAACAGCTTCAGCAGTTTGGTGTTTCTTTTTCAAATTTTCCTGACAGTCACTCTTTTAATGTTCTGAAGAACAAAATTCATGGAAGTCATAGAATATTTGTTTTCTAGGATAGGAAAAAGATTTTGATGGGCCAGCTAGATTAAAAAAAGACACATATAACTTTAAAATTACTGTCATCTTTTGTCAGGACATAAGCCAGCCACCAACCATTTTAACAGATTTCCTGTAATTTCTGTAAATTGCAGTCAATCCTGTTGTGCTTTCTAGTCACCTCATTTAATATAAGATGATCTACACTCTTGGTTTTGAATTTCTCAGTTGAAACATGAAATCATTTTGACATTTACATAAATTATTACGCTAAGATGAAATAAAATAAAATATATTAATAAATAAATGCAGAAACCAAACTGTCTTATTGATTCTGTGGTGGCTGCAGGTCCCAGTAAAGACAAAACAGCAAGTGTCAAGAGCATTGCCCTGCAATTTAAAGGTAAGCTGAGAATGGAAAGGAGAAAAGAGAGGAACATTTTTCCAAGAAGCGACTTGTAGGGAAGAGAAAGGGAAACCTGGATGGAAAACAGGTGGGAGAAGGGATTAATGTGCATGGGATCAGGCCAACTTCAGGGAAGGTAAGAGGGAAGGAATTTCATATGAAATGAAAATAGTCTGTTAGAGATTGTTTAATAAATTGTTAATATATGTGCCTTCTAATTTCAGTCAATGTCAGAAATCTATTTTCAATTTCTAAAATTTTGAAAATATTTCTAAGTTAAATGTATTTTGTTTCAAGACAGAGACACTACACATTCACATTACAACACAACCACATCTTGACAGCCATCTCATAGTACAACAACATCCATTCAACATAGAAAGTGATTTCAAAATTTTAGAAACTGACAGTAGATTCCAATTTAAATGAAAAGCCATATGTAACAACAATTTACTTTACTATCTCCATCACTTCAAATCATCAAATTCCTTGTCCCTCCTGAAGTTGGTCACCTTCCATGTGTATAACCCCTCCTCCAGTCTAGGTTTCTTTCTCTTCCGTTTAGAAGTAATTTAGACCGGGGGGAGTCTTCTTGGCCCCACACCATTGGGCAATGCTGTTGGCCCATGCTTTTTCGTCTTTACTGGCACCATAGCCACTGCACAATTGGTTTGTCAATTAACACATCTGCATTTATTTATTTAGTTTTATCTTAGCATAATTTATGTCAATTTCAAAATTATTTCTTGCTACCTTTATTTTACCTCATATTTCAATTATCTTCATTACCAGTTATTTCATTTACTAAATTTGCAATTTTAAGTATTGTTTCTTTGTAATTCAGTAATTTATGTAATTTGTTCTTCATTTGGCTCAATTTGTTCACAGAAAATCACAAATTATATTTTTTTGTTATACAAATTGTAATGTGCATATTTCTATTTTTATAGTACTGAAGATGGCTGCAATGCAGCCGAAAAAGTTTCATGATGAATTACACATACCATAAGAAAATTACACCTTGCAATTACTTTTATAACAAGTACTTAGGATTAAAGTATAGTGCACTTTAATATTACTTTTTTTTTTTAATATTTTCAATTTTTTTTATTCTTAAATTTTTTAATCTTTAAAAATTTAAAAAGTTTAAAAATCTTAAAAATTTCAAAACTTGCTCAGATTTGAAAACTAGAATGAAGTATATAAGGCAACCGATACAAATGATAAGTTTAACTCATTCATAAATAGATACTTAAGACATTTCAATGCCATTTTCCCTCAAAAACCGAAAAAGATCCAAAATAAGAAAACTAAATCATGGATTACCACAGGCATCAAAGTGTCATGTTAAAGAAAACACAACATGTATAAAATACTAACAAATAACAAATATACCTCAAACTTCATTTCATATTACAAAACATATAATTCGATCCTAAAAAAAGTAATCAAACAAGCAAAAATTATAACAAATGATAAGTACATTGCAAATGCACGTAATAAAACAAAAGCCATGTGGGACATTATTAAAAAGACCCACAAGAAATAGCTGATATACTCAATGAACACTTTTCACAAATTAGTAATAAGTTAATCTCTCAACACCCTCTAAATAATAAAACACACCAAACAAACACTAATATTACACAAATTGTGAATTCCATAAAACCACCCCCTCTGAAATTTTTAATATCATTGGACAAATGGAGAATAAATTCTCAGCAGGCATGGACAACATTCCAGATTTTCTTATTAAACACAGTGCTCCATGTTTAGTGCAACCCCTCTCTCACATCTGCAATTACTCTCTAAAATCAGGCATATTGCCAGATATATTCAAAACAGCAAAAATTAAACCATTGTTTAAAAAGGGCAATAGTTATGACCTAATGAACTACAGGCCTATTTCCCTGTTATCAGGATTTTCAAAAATTCTGGAAAGACTTTTCAATGTTAGACTCAGTTTCTCAATGCAAATAATGTTCTTACAAATGCACAACATGGCTTCAGGAGTAATAAATCCACAGACACAGCCATCTCCTTTTTAAATGACATACTTGTTGCACTAAATCAGAAGGAAATTCCCATTGGCCTTTTCTTAGATTTGTCAAAGGCCTTTGACATCATTGACCATCACATACTTTTAAGAAAACTAGAAATGCTAGGGATTCGAGGCATTGCAGGCCAATGGATCCAATCATATTTATCAAACCGTAGACAAATAGTTGCCCTCCAACACACTAAAGAAAACAAAATCTCCCCATACTACTCCTGTCCTCAAATAATAAATTGCGGAGTCCCACAAGGATCCATCCTTGGGCCAATACTATTCCTTATATACATAAATGACATGCATTTGGCTTTAAGGAACAACAAAATAATTTTGTTTGCAGATGACACAAACATCCTCATCAAAGCAAAAACACAACAATCATTAGAAAAAGAAACTCAAGAAACTTTGCAAGCACTAGAAAAATGGTTTCAAGACAACAAACTCATCATAAACACCAGCAAGACAGTCTCTCTAAATTTCATGAATCCTTGATCTAAAGAAAAACTCTCACAGCATTTGCTCATAAACAATAACCATGTAACGATATCTCATGAAACTACCTTCCTCGGACTAACAATTCAAGAAAACCTAAAATGGAACACTCACATCTCAAATCTTAACAAGAAGCTCAGCAAATCTTGCTATGCCCTACACACCCTCAGGTCAAGCTCCAACATTGAGACACTTCAAACAATGTATTTTGTAAATGTGCACTCACACCTAAAAGATGGAATAATATTCTGGAGAAATGCCCCTGAAAGCACTTGCACATTTATTATCCAAAAAAGAATACTGCGAACAATGACCAGCACTCATAAGCTGGAGTCTTGCAAACCCTTGTTTAATAAACTAAGGATTCTTCCTCTACCATGCATGTACATATTTAAAATAGTGGTCTTCACAAAGAAAATTCTCATGGAAAACAAAGACACTTTTACTTTAAATTCTGATGTACATAACTACAACACCCATCAAAGGATAACCTACATGTTCCCTACTCTGAAAATACGCTTTATCAAAAAAGTACTCTAATAGAGGGCATTACACTTTACAACAAGCTAGGCAGTGATATCAAAGACATAAACACAATTCATACATTTAGAAGTAAATTGAAAGCTCTCCTGCTTAACAACATGTTCTACAGTGTAAAGGAATTTTCAAATTACATTTCCATTAAAAAATATAAATAAATAAGAATTTCTTATCCCATTAGACTTTCTGTTTCATGTGAACTGTTTCAAGCTGAAGCAAAGAAAAAAGAACTGCATATCAGATCCTGTGAAATAGAAGGAAAATAGAAGAAAAAAAACTGGTCAAAACTTGCCTCCTCACCATTTCAAGTTATAAATATATAATGTACTACTACTGTTATATTTGATGTAGTTGCAACCATAATTGATATGTATTATTATAAGTAGTAGCATTAAAACAACATTGAAATGTTAATTATTAGCAGATAATTTATCTACTGTATAATATCTTAATCTAACTGTAACAAGTATTGTGTTTCTAGGCCAATGACCCCATCTCAATCAGGTTTTGTTCAGTTTCCCTGGTCTTTTGAGCAAATGCTGAGATGGTCCCTTGTTTGCTCCTGAACAGTAATATAACTTTGCTCTCTCCACCCAAGGCATCATATTGACTCGTTAAACACTACTGTAATTGTATACATGACTCAATAATAATAATAATAATAATAATAATAATAATAATAATAATTATTGAGTCTGGAAACTATTCTACATTTTTAAACAATACTTCAGAGAAAACCCAGGAAAGAATGAATGTGACAGGAACTGTAGCCAAGGTGCCATCAGTGTTGATATTCTTGAGTTGTTGGTAATGATAAAATATTAGTAAACAAAATTTGAGGAGAAACAATTAGCATTTACATGACGAAGCGACATCTTTGCCACATTAATATTTTGCATTCTTTTTCACCAACTTGTTAAGGAAAGAAAGGACTTTTCTTTCCCTTCACTTTCTTTCACATACTCCCCATTTTTATTTGGAAAATTCATTTTATCTCTAATAAAAACATCAATAAACATTAGATTTATTTTAATTTATTTGTAAATAGATATATTTGGCTCCATACACACAATATTTACAATGGAAGACATACATTTATTTAGTATGGCAAACTACACATTATTTACATCAGCACTTCAGGTATTCAAATCCAATGATCAAAACAGAAAATATAATTTATTCTATTCAGCCTCAAAGATAACAGCACATTACATAATGAAAAAACATTCAGAAATGGTGTTTTAAACCTTCGGTAAACTTCTTGTGTCATGAAAGCATGTTATTATATACCCTTCAATATTTCACCTTCATTAAGGAATGTTAAGTAAGGAGTTAGAAGGAATGAAATAAAAAATAATGTATTAGAGCATTACAACTTGCAATAAATGTCAAACATTTTATTACCTATTTTACAATAAGAATATAATAGTTTATGAACAAACCTATTTATCATTAGGTCTTTAGCTTCCACATATGAACTTTCTCTCAGCATTAAAAAATATCCCTCACATTTTAATTAAGGAAGTAACCTATTAAGACTGACTTACATACACATCAAAGGAATAATAGTAAATTGGCCTAATGTTTTTGACTAGGGACCATGTCATCAGTTCCGATGGCCAAATCTTTCATTTACATTACATTAAGAATATTAGCATGTATTGTCAATTTTGAAGCTAATAAATTGATGATGTACAACTCACAACTATCATACTTTTACGTAATCCACTAGAAGCCCAACCTATCTCTTAAAACTTCTGAGCACAGCTTCTCTTTTGTAGTTCTCTTTACATTGCAGATTACAAACAATAAGTTCCATAAAATTTGCAAAAACATTATGACATTGTCATTACTGTAATGTAAAAAGTTGTGTTTCTTACATAACAAACTGTATTCCTTAAAAATAGTAGCTACCTTTCTCCCCCCCCCCCTGCATACCATAGGGCCTTCTTTTTATTAACTAAATCTTAATCAATAGCAAAATATTTCTCCAGATGAAGACATACAATTTAAGAAAATCCGTATTTATATTTAAATACTAACTTATCTATTTTTAGATGTACTTTTCTTATTTGAACATAAATTAAACAGGCTCTGGAATTACAGTAGAATCATGAAAATCCTTACTCAAATATGTAATGTAACCTGATTGCTTTCCTCCCTGCACTTCAGGGAAATTGTACCGAGTCTGATTTGCATTTTTCACAGACATAATAGGTGTTGTGGGATGGTTAGGATCTTCAAAAAGTTGTTGATAAATGGAGGATCTACCACGCTTGATCATTGGTGGATGAAGAGTATTGATCATTCGTGCACCATAACTGTTTCTCTGACGGGACCAACGCAACACACATGCAGCTAGAATTGTCAGCGAGAACAAAATGGCTACTACAGAAAACAAAACAATAATAACTGACCAGAGGTAGTTGTCATTGCTCTCTGCCAGGACTGTACTCTGTCTCCAAACAATATGATTCAATTCATCACTAGGATTTGGAGATGTCCTACTTTCAGTATTGTAGTTTTCATCATCCTGGTTGTCATTTTCACCCTCTTCATAACTGTCATCATATGCCTCATCATCCTCATCCTCATCTTCATCTTCATCTTCCTCTTCCTCTTCATCCAGATCATCCTGATTGTCATCAACGGCTGGTTCCACAGGCTCTCTAGCCCATTCCCCACAAATCTGCTCTTGTACTTCACCCCACCCCAAGGGACCAATGTCTTCAGTGTCTGTTAAGAGCGACAGTGTCTCCAGTTTGAGGGAAGTCAATTTATTGGCATTTGGCTTAACATTGTGATCTCGGAACCATTTGATTGTAGCAGCAAATGTTTCATTACATACCAAAGGATTGTCAGTAATATCAATTCCCATCAAATTAGGAGTCAATGCCAGTTGTTCTTCAGTGATAGCATAAATATAATTTTTTGACACTGATAATGTCTGAAGCCTCTCAAGAATTTTAGGATCTTCTGCATTCCAAAATGAAGACAAAGAACATTCACTAAGATCAAGTGATTCTAGTTCAAGCAAATCAACAAAGGCAGATGAAGGTAAATCTGTCAGTTTATTTCCTGTAAGATACAATTTTCTTAATCGTGCGCTTGATGGGAATTGTATCTCTTCTAAGTGCTCGAATTTATTATGTGACAAATCTAACTTAGTAATATATTTATTAAGAACACCCGGCTTCAGTCTGCTGAGATAATTTCCAGCCAAATTCAAAAACGATAACCTCTCCACGTCTTCGAAGAGTGCTCCTTCCAGAGTTTTCAGGCCACATACTGAGAGATCCAAATTGAACAGATAATGCAATCCCTTGAATATATTCTCAGGCAACACTTGTAACTTTGGATTATGTGCCAAATTCAATTTTCCAAGGCCTGATATTTTTTGGAAAAGGTCTTCTGGAAGAGGTCCTTGAAGAGCATTATTTGAAAGATCTAAATCTGTCAAAGAAGACAGATTAGCATCACTGAATGTATCCTCTGCAATTTCACTTAAAGCATTTCCACTAAGGTTTAAAATGTTGAGGAGAGAAAAGCCTGCGAAAGTAGTTTTATCAATTCTGCTGAACTTGCACAAACTAACATCTAGTTCAGTTAAATCTGGCAAAATAACTCCAGCCATGGTAGTAAGGTGATTACCTCGAAGTTTAAGTACAACAAGTCTCTTATTTTCAAACACTTCATTACCAACTTCTCCCAATAAATTGTGAGACAGATCTACTTCCTCTAGTTCCATTAAATTGACAAACTCTTTTCCAAGGGACTTCAGTTTGTTGCCAGCTAAATTCACAGTCATGAGTTTAGGCATTTTGGAAAATGCATCAGGCTGCAACTGTGCGATGCCAGTATTTGCCAAAACTAGCTCTCTCAAGAGAGGTATATCAAATAAATAATCAGACTTTTTTGAAAATTTCAAATCTGTGTTTTTAATTGCCAGCTGAGTAAGATCTTTTGTTTCACTGAACATATCAGGATGAACAACCAGTTGATTAACAGAATCAAACTCAACTGTTCTAAGGATTTCAAGACCAGAAAAAGCTCCAGCATCTAATTTCTTAACTGTACAATTCTTAATCTGAATAGTTGACACATTCTGAAGACCAACACTTTCAAAAGTGTTCTTGTCTATCACAAGAGCATTGTCATTCTCAATAACTAATCGGGAAATTTTCCCACCAAAATTTTGTTCATGTCGCAATTTTAAGCAGCGAGCAATGAAGGGGCCAACTCCCTCCTCGGTGCAGGAGCATGCTGCAGGGCACTCTTCTCCTTCAGAGGCTGCCGAGACTCGAGGCACCCAAGTCGTCAAGGCAAAAAGACATCCAAAAAGCAGCAACAGGTGCTTCATGGTGCACCAGTAGTTTGTTCACAGTCCAATCTGCAACATAATAATAAATTACATGAATTTATAATGGGGGTCACAAAATATAGCTTTAAAAATTGAACTTATTAGTCAGAAACCAATGTCTGGTTTCTTGAAATCGATGTTTTAGTGCTATTTTAGATCATATATTTTTATTTGCAATTTTTTAATTCATTTTGTTGATTTGTTATTAAATAGTACACATTATAATGACCAAATTTGTCAAATATATTATATTTGTCTTTCATAATCCAATAAGAACTATATACACACATTTAAGAACTATTTTACACATTCTCTCAACAACAGAAATAAAAATAGAGGCAAACCTAAACTTTTATTGTCTGCTAATGCCTTCATTATGACGTATCTAAATAAGATTAGACTTATGTTTATTACATTACGATATAGTAATGAGAGGGTATAGCAAAAGTTTTTTTGACACTTGCAAAATGAGAAAATATGCAAACTGAGAAGTCTTGCTGCAAGTCGAATGTCAATTTTAAATGAAAAATAATTCATATTTTTAGCAAGTTCATTAAAAAATATGTTGGTACATTTCAGACCATCAAACTTCTTTATGTAATAATACAGTAAGGAAATATTACATATAAGATTAAAATGACTGACACCAAACCCATAAATGTGGTATTCCTGGATCCCTAGGGATGCATGAAATGAACAATTTATGTCTTCGAGCATCATAAGGAAAACGGTTTGCACATATGCAATCTGCAACACACATTAAACATTTTTACTTAAATGAAATGAAGTCTCAAGCCCTGAAATCCAGGTTTTCGTGATCCCAATCCAATGTTAAATTATGTTTCTTTTTGTAATATACAAAATGAAACGTAAGCTTCCCAATTCATTTTTTGGAGAATATTTACCGTCCATTGGAGAATCATGATGAATGTTGCAAGTGAGGTTTGTGACTCTTCATTTCAAAACGATTTAAGTGTGGAAAGTTCGAACAGGTCCCAGTGAAGGATATTAGCAGGCACATATCCACAGGGAAGTAAAGTGAGAGAAATGGATCCCCATTCATTATTCAGTAACTTAATTTTAACTTTTACGATAATGCGATAATCTTAAAATACGATTTTGCGATAATAATACGATTTTGCGATAATCTTAAAATGAATAAAACCGTATTGCAGAGAGAGAGAGAGAGAGAGAAAAAAAAAAGAGAGAGAGAGAGAGAGAGAAAAAAAAAAGAGAGAGAGAGAGAGAGAGAAAAAAAGAGAGAGAGAGAGAGAGAGAAAAAAAAGAGAGAGAGAGAGAGAGAGAAAAAAAAGAGAGAGAGAGAGGAAAAAAAGAGAGAGAGAGAGAGAAAAAAGAGAGAGAGAGAGAGAGAGAAAAAGAGAGAGAGAGAAAAAGAGAGAGAGAGAAAAAGAGAGAGAGAAAAAAGAGAGAGAGAAAAAGAGAGAGAGATACTAAAAGCACATCAATAACCTTGTGCGTTTGATTACTTAAGAACGAAATAAATTAAAATACCAGAGACCAGCGTCTTGCTTATAACCCTACTGGGTTGAATTCATGGTGGAATTACTTGAATTTGTGATGAAATATGTAGCTTTTAATAAATTAAATAAACTTTTCCTCATTCCACCACTAACGGCATCTTCATGCTTTACGAAATCTTCATTAATTTCGTCATCATCGTCACAAATGCTTTGGTGAAGCGAGTGGAACATTTTTTGACAGGTTCGAAAACAGTTGAACATCGCTCTGCGATATGCATTCTTCCGCCAAAGCCAGAAGAGCCGAGCACCAGCTGTTAGGTGGTTCAGTGCATGCAGTTAGATAAATAGGATAGTTTTCACGAGTGAATCACACTGTTCCGATATCGTAACAAAAAGTGAAAAAATAAATACAAACCATATTGAAAACCTAACAAGAATATGTCTGCGTGTAAATTAATTCATCAATAACAATAAATCGATCAGGCATAAACGCCCAGAATTACAAAAGCCCGAAGTTTACTTTTATTACTATTTCTATTGAACTCGCAGAAGACTAAAATCTAATGAAATAGCATGTAAACAATATTTCTTATAAAGAAAGCGTGATTTTCTTGCATTCTGCTACATAAATATATTGATTTTATCTAAAAATATTCTACAGTTGGCGAAACGACAAAAAGAAGAAGAAGAAAAAAGTTCGACAGTCTCAAAACAAGTTAGCCAGAGTTTGTGAAATGAATAGTATCATTTCTACGTGTCAGTCAATGACTACGCCCCGGATTTAGTTTGGGACGATTGTGTGCTAAAATATCAGGCGATATGACAGAACAGAATGTACCGTTCTAGGGGTCTCGGCGATGGTCATAATGAGATTAAGGACGCGACACCAACAAAAAACTGATGCCAAATCACATTGCCCCTATCCATCGATGTTTTTAAAAGATTAATGATGTACGTTGGCGGGCATTTATTTTAAGAGTGGCCGTCTTTATTAAAAAACACACAAAAACTAACCTCACTTACTTCCCAAAACCACTTTTACCGAGATGGGAAAATTAACAGCTTTTTTATTATAATATTTTCGAAAATACCAACCATCAACCACGTTAAAGCATCGTGCATCCTGCAAGCCACCGATGTTAAAAACTGCTTCAATATATAGATATTAAAATTCTCTAATTTTTAAATAAGTTATGTTTTTGACATCGACACTGATGTCAAATTCCCAAATGAAAATCTGACTGTCAAACATAGCCCTTGTGGATATTCACCACAAACGTGTAACATTAATATTCCTCTCCTCAACGTCTTACTGCAAAATCCTCTTCTTACAAATTTGACAGATTTATAAGTTGAAGGATCAAAAGTCTTACAGTTAAATGAGTCAAATCACAATTTTAGGCACTTTCTCCGTGAGGGATGGATGTAAGTTCCATGCCCTCACCATGCCTACCTACATGCGCGGTGCCAAACTGGTTTTATAATTCAACAAGTTATCACACAGAATAGTTTGGATATAGCACCTACTGCAAACTATTCCGTACGGTTAATCATGTGTTGTGCAGTTTTAAAGACCAGTATTGTTTTGAAGTTTGTTGAGGAGGAACACGGACCCCTCTTTCGCCAGTGACGGCCCCTCCGAGTAAGGCCTCGTGGATGCGACGGCGGCGCCGCTGTTGTCAGGGCCAAGGGCGACGGGAGCGGCAGAGCCAGGCAGGGCGGCGGCGGCGGCGGCCCCCCACCCGCGGTCGGGCTTCCGCCCACGGGGCGCCGCCGCCGCATTCCTCTGCTGCGCCTGGGGGCCTCCGCGCCAAGGTCCCTTCTCGGCGGCGGCGGCCGCGCACGCAAATGCGCGAAGAAGCAACGCCTGCAGGCGTCAGCGGACACTCCGGCCACGGGGGAGGGACAAAGGAAGGGGCGCGCCGTTCCGAGAAAGGGCCCGGGCTTTCCAGATACGCCGCTTTTACAAACATTTTACCTGCACGACTTAAGTTTAACCGCTTCCCGAATGCCTTTCACGGATTCTCGTGGCCAGGCGGCCGACTCGCCGCACCTCCCCTGCCCTTCCAGCCAAAGCATTCGCCTTCCGGAGCGGGCGCTTAGAGAAAATGGGAGTTTGGAGAAAAATCATTTTTTTACTTTTATTTCAAAGCAGGCACGAATATCAAAGCGAAGTATCCAATATTTAAAAAAGTGTAAATTATCTTGTAATGTAATTTAATATTGTTTAATAGTAACAAAATAGTAAATTGTTGTTTTGGGTTAATTACGCATTTTGAAAAGTGATAATTAAAAAAGCATTTACAAATTGCGCTGCACTAAGTAGGGGCCCTTACGCGCACCCGAAGGGCACAAGAGTCGCAAATTTCGAACTCATAGCCCCTCAATCGAGAGACAATGTCACCCACTGATAACATTCGCTGAGCAATTTTGATTTCCTTCAACTGTTGGAAATTCGTAGAAAATTGGGGAAGTTTACAATTTAATATTTTATTATACTTCCATTTTCCATTCTTCTTCACCGACCACGAGGTCTCGGCGACCAACTCGCTTGCCCACGTTTAGATCGCGTCGCTAAAAACGTGCTTATATATGGCTGCGCTCGTCCGGTTCATAATTTCCTCCGAGTGGTTCCCAGCACCTTCAATTCCCAATCCCCCCTCCCACATCCCTTCATTGCAACGTACCTACGCTGTGTTTCAGTTATTGTTCTCTCACTCCCCAAAACACGATCCCAATAGTCATTACTCACGTGATAATCTACAATTGTACAACTCCACTATAGTGCTTTAATGAAACGCATGAGTGATACAAGCAATATCTCGTTGCTTGGCACCGCAGAGACCTTCCGCACCGAGGCGCAGGGGGGGGGGGTGCTTTCCTCGGAAGCGCGAGTAGAAGGCGAGCGACTGCCTCGCAAGGCCCACGCGGAGGCGCCTCGCGCCATTCGCATGCGATTCGTGTCCGGGGCAACAGTATTTGAAGAACGGACGCATCTAATACAAATGCCAACGTTCTCTAGTTGATAATACTCGTAATAATAATTAGCTTAGCTTGGCGCTTCCAGTGGGTGCTTGCATGTTGAAATTATTTATTCGTGCTTTGCAACTTCTTAATAAAATAATATTTAAACAATACAGTTACCTGGCTCGTCTATCCCTCAGAGTGTCACGAAAAATTATCGTCGGAAGAACTTTTTGAAATAAATCTTATCTCTCACTCCATAATTAGCTAAAGCCTATTCAATCTTCTAATTAAAGTTCAAACGTTTCCCGTAACGCTAGACACGCGAAATAATTCACAGTTTCGTCCCTTCGGAGACTCTTCCCCCAACCTTTTTTCTGGAAGAATTCTTCCAGAATATGCTGGCGGGACCAGGCTAAAAATAGTGCCAATCGACTCTCTCGTCGAGAGGAATCGAATGAGAAATTAATCATCTCTGAATGCGTATTAAAACTCCTCAAGAACTAGAATTCGGCAACAAAAGACGCCATTTCATTTATTTTTGTGGCGAGCAATTCATCGTGGCGTTTAGAGTGTTAAAAAAAT